TTTCAAAATTCGCTATAAAATTAATTTCTTGAAGGATCCTTGTGGAAATATCACCAATTAATAATTAAAATGTCCTCTTTTTAATGCAACAAGCCGTTTTGAAAAATCACTTTTAGTTCTTGAGAACAAAATTTTTGAAATAATCGACAATTTTTTCGAATTTTACAATTTTCGCCCATTAAGTTTTATAAATTCGTATAAAATCCAGTTCTTGGAATATGAGTACGAAAATTTCCCAAAGTGTTAATAAAAGTGTCCTCTTTCCAATAAACCAACCCATTTTGATAAATAACTTTTAGTTCTTGAGAAAACAATAGTTGAAGTTTTGATAAAATTTCGATGTTGCAATTTTGATCGATAATTTTAAAAATTCGCTGTAAAATTAATTTCTTGGAGGATCCTTGTGGAAATATCACAGATTATTAATTAAAGTATCCTCTTTTTAGAGTTGCTTCGTTAGTTAAATCAGCATCAAAAAAGTTCATTTTGTATCTTGGATCCAAATAAGTTAACATATCTTATCAGCTTTCTTATTAATTTCATTTTTATTCAAATATCGCAATAATGTGGCAATGTAGGGTATCACTTCAGAAATGCACCAGAAATTTAACCATAATGGCCGAATAGATATGCCGGATAACCGAATATCCAGCTTTTCGCAAAATTACTATCCATTCCATCACTAGTGAAAACCAACTAATCTATTGCGAAATTCTTTGGATTCCAAGCGAGCACGTCATCATCGAAGAAAGTTCCTTAATAACATAGTGCATGGACAATCTTGCCTTTCGTTAGACTGCACATCTAAACTGGCTCCTGTCATATACCTGGACTCCAAAATTGATGGTGACATAAAATTAGGAAGGACCAAAGCATCCAGCATAGCAAGTTCCATACTGGCTCTCTATCCATAAAACCAGCCGTGAAGAGATTGGTTGATCAAGATATTTTTTATCCAATAGCTACAGATTCAGCAAACCATGGTAACATTAAAATGTATCCTTTAGTGGTAAGATACTTCACTTCATTACAGGTGAGAAACTATTTACTGGATTATAGTAATCTAAGACGTTAAACAGCAACCCTATGGTGGGTTTCAGGTCACAGCAACATTGAGGGCAATCAGAAGGCGGACAAGCTGGCCAGAGTGGCAGCGAACACGCCCTTTTTGGACCCCAATCTGGTTGTGGACTACAAAAAAGCCACCTAAAACAAATAATCAACAGTTGGGAGGTCTCAAAGGTAGCCTTTCGCTGGAAAGAACTTCCAGGTAACAAAAAAGCGAAGATTATGATAACTTCGCCGCAAAACAAAACCAAAGAAGTTTTATGCCTCAGCAAAAGGACGCTCTCAGATTACCTGACCGGCCATGCGCCCCTAAAATACCACCTCTTCCACATTGGATAAACTGAGGATCAAACTTGTTGACTTTGCAACGACGAGTCAGAAACGGCTGAACATATGCTGTGCAATTGCGTCGTCAGAGGCCGTTTAAGACACAAACTTTCTTGGCACCTAACGACATAAAGGTTCAAGACCTCAGGGCAATACTAAACTTCATCAAGGACCTACATTTACCCTAAACTTTTGGAGGGCTAAAGTTACAATAGATCTTATAGGTCGTGATAACGAGAAGGGCCGCTCCCCTCAACCCGGCAGCAATAATAATAATAAAGTAGAAATTGATTTACGTTATATTAGAGAAGACACTTCAACTCTCACTAAACATGACCTTGAGGTTGCGCGCGCAATCCACGGCCAATTACGTCACGAAACACTCCCGCTCTTGCCCCTCACCCACAAACGAAAATCAAAGTATTGCAGTATATGAACCTACAAAACCTCTTATATATAAAACTTGAGAGGTGGTGGCAGCAGGAAGATGTAAGGAGACAAGAAGGGGCTGGGAAGAAGGGTAGGATTTAGATTAGTTATGGATAATGTTGTTAATAATAAACGAAAATATTTTTTGGTACTTACATCTAAACTAGCTAAACAGTACCAACAGAACACGTGCTTACACCTTTTGCACATCATCTGTGCACAGCCTTCATCTTTTTCGATAGGAACATTGCACATCGGACAACATTTAATTAGATCCGAATCGAACGGAATTCCCGCCTCTTCAACTTTGCCCTGTTTCGCCAATTTCTTGTTGTTTTCATCGCACGACATCCCATGGTGCCACTCCAATTTACAATTACTACAAAAATCCAACGAACAAGTCGGGCAATGCACGCTTTGCGGTTGACATCTTTGCGAAGGGCACACATTGCACACCGTTTCACAACCAGCTTGGGGACACCACGTACGGTTCTTGTCGATTTCAATCTCTCGATTCAATCGATACTTTTTGTGTTTAACCAATAAATCATCACCGACTAATTTACGAATTTCCTCTTGGTTTAATACCCCTTGTAGTGGACATTGAGCATCTGGGCACGATATATCGTAAGCTCCCTCTGCTATTTCTATCTCAACGTAAGTCCGCATACACTAAAAAAAGTAATTAATTAATTTTAAAAAAATTATTGACATAATTAAATTAGTTACATCGGAACAAAAAGAACATCCACAACTCAATATTCCAAAACTTTTCTTAAAAGGCACCTCGCTGAGGCAAAGTTTACAAAGAATCGGAGGTTCATCTGGAACTTGTACGAATCCCCCGGTGGAGGCATTTAACGAGTACCTCGAACTGGAGGCTAACGTTAAAAGACTGGAACATCGCGAACACAGCCGATTGGTGGAATTATGGGGAGAAACGCGTAACCGATTCACGGGACGTAAACGTTCCATGCTTCCATGAACACTCGATGTTGATGAGCCCGAAGACAACACCCCGGTGAGAGCAATTACGGTTTCACATTTTCTTAAACTCGCTAAACTTGCCGCAGGTTTAATTAACGCTCCACAACTGCCTTCTTTCTTCATTAAAGGGGATGATGTGTCTCCGGATTCGCCACTGTTTCTTCGTCTCACCAACGATTTTAAACCGGGCATCGTTAAGAAATCGATTCGAGCTCGCCTAAAAAAAGAACGAAATTAAACTATAAGGAAAAATTTGTTGATTAGATTAAAAGTTATGTTATCTCCTTTTGTGTAAATTGAAGGGTTTATCTAATTGATTAATCTATTGCGATTCTAGATTAAAAGTTATTTGTTTATATTTTTATTTTTATTCTTTTTATCATAAATGAATTTTGATACAAACCATAAAACTTTTTTAGTTGGCATTCTGAAATGTGACAAAAACATTCCAATTAATCAATTTTCGATTAATTAAAATAAACGTGATTTAATCTGTAAAATATAAACAACATTTTAAATTATAATTAATTCAAATTATTAAGTTTAAATATATTTGAATTAAAGATTTTTTAAATTTAAGTTGGTAATTAGATTTGACAATTTAACCTCTAACCTGTCAACCGATTCATTGTCTATTTCCGACTTGAAACATTTTTTAGCACTTAACTCGATTATACTCGAGATTAACTTAAAAAAAAATTAAAACGAAATGGTTTGAATTAACGTTAAAGGTGCGTTACATTTTTAATCAACAAATCTTATTTAATTAAATAATTCAAAATAATAATAACAACATAACCTCAAATGTTAAATTTTGACGTTTGAAATTTCATTTTTAATAAAATTTTACAATAATTCAGTTAAAAACAATCCAAGTAATATTTTAACTCAACTTTGTATTCGAAAAGGTATCATTTGATTTATCATTCTAATTCTCAAGACAAAAATTTAACTTTCTGTGTAAAAAAAAATAATCATAAAACTTTTTAGGTTGGCATTTTGAAATGTGACAAAAAATGTCTAATTAATTATTTCGATTAATTAAAATAACGGTGATTTAATCTTTAAAATACAAACAACATTTTAAATTATAATTAATTCAAATTATTAACTTTAAATATATTTGAATTAAAAAGATTTTTTTTAATTTGAGTTGGTAATTAGATTTGACACTTTAACCTCTAACCTGTCAATCAATTGTCTATTTCGGATTTGGAAATTTTTTTAGCACCTAACTCGGTTAAACTCCAGATTAATTTAAAAGGAAATTAAAACGAATTGGTTTGAATTAACGTTAAAGGTGAGTTACATTTTTAATCAATAAATCTTATTTACTTCATTAATAATTCAAAATAAATAATAATAACATAACCTCAAATGTTGGATTTTGACGTTTGAAATTTAATTTTTACTAAAATTTAACAATCTAGTTAAAAACAATCCAAGTAATATTTTAAATCAACTTTGTATTCAAAAAAAGGTTTATCATTCTAATTCTCAAAAAAAATTTAACTTTCTCTGTAAAAAAAAATGTAACCACAAAACTTTTTAAGTTGGTATTCTGAAATGTGAAAACATTTCCAATTAATTAATGATTTCGATTAATTAAAATAAAAACATGATTTAATCTTTAAAATATAAACAATATTTTAAATTATAATTAATTCAAATTTTTCAAATTTAAGTTTAAAAATATTTGAATTAAAACGATTTTTTTAAATTTAAGTTACATATTTTAGATTTGACACTCTAATCTGTCAATCGATTCATTGTCTATTTCCGACTTGAAACATTTTTTTTAGCTCTTAACTCGATTATACTCGAGATTAACTTAAAAAAAATAAAATGAAACGGTTTGTATTAACGTTAAAGGTGAGTTTTATATTTTTAATCAAAAAATCTTATTTACTTTAATAATTCAAAATAAAAATAATAACCTCAAATGTTGGATTTTGACGTTTCAAATTTAATTTTTAATAAAATTTAACAACATTTCAGTTAAAAACAATCCAAGTAACATTTTAAATCAACTTTGTATTCAAAAAAAGGTATCATTTGATTTATCAGTCTAAAA